CTCTCTTGTCCCATGGACACTTAATAAATATCTGATGGTCCCGATGGCACACAGTGATCACCTTGCTGGGGACTGCTCTTCTCCACCCTGGAAGTGCCATGCTCTATGAGTCAAGAAACAGTGCCTGGCAAAGTAGCCACGTGACACTCGGGCAGCTGCCCTGATGAATGCAAACATCAGGACAAGGAGGGGCACTTTGGCACAATGTCATCCTTAGACCTCAAAGGTCCCCAGAGGTGTGTTCTCGAAGGCCCCAAATGTTAGTTTTCCAGAATGGAACTTCCCTAACTGCCCTTTCTATTTGCTGGACTCGGGGACACTATGGTAACACCTGCAGCCTCTTTTGTCTCCAAACTTTGTTCTTTGTAATGTTTCTCTCAAGGGAGAACTCTGACCTTGAGCTTACTTGGAGTTCCCAGGACCAGGGAGCCTGGGGACAGGTGAAGGCCCCTGGTGGCAGGTAGTAGCCAAAAGGCATGGGAGCCTGAAGGTACTGACAAGTGACCTTCCCACAGCTGGGCTAATGGTCCTGAGCAGCACCAGGCTTGATTGATGGGTGTCATTCACAAAAGGCTCACGGGGACACACAGATGCTCAAAGATATTTGCCCTGCCCCCCACAATTGTGAATTGTGCCTAAGAAGGCTAACTATAAAAGACATTCCCTACCAGTGGGAGTTATCCCAATAAAAAATAGAGAGTCAAGCAGACAGACAGATAGACAGGAATAAAACTGAAGCAATTTCAAAAGGGTGCTTGCTGTGAAAAATGTATTTAATCAGCCTACATGCGTGTAAGAAATATATTAATACTGCTATCTTTAATGACAAAGATGAAATAAACAGATAATATTGACATTCTATTAGACACCTTCAAATTCTTTTACAAGCTTTAAGAAGAAAAATGAACACCATATGGTAAATTAGCAGAAGTACAATATAGAAATTTAAATCCACAAATAGTGAATATCTGATGTACAGTAATATTAAAATCTAGTTTTCTGCGGAGTAAATAATTTGCCTTATCACTAAAGAATTTCTTCACTTTGGGTTTAAACTCCCACTCAGCTTTAATTTATCAATTCTGCTTCACTTGTTCAAGAGTTTGCAGAAGAGTATCCTTATGTACTTTCATGGTTCTAAATGTCAATTACCTTGCAAAATTTGAAATAAATCTCTTCAGCCAAGTTTGAATCATGCAGGAGGTTAAAATACATCATTTGACCCTCAAAGCAATAATATAAGATTATTTCAGGAGGGAAATCCAATTATTCTACACAAGGAAAAAAAAATGGTGCCTCTTTGGAAAAAAATAATTCAAAAATTTTAGAATGTGATTGAAAAATTTTTAAAAAAGCAAAAGCTTTTTCAAAGTTTTAAATTGCCAAACTCCCAGCTGGGGTATTGCTTTTCTGCAAGCCCTCAATTTTGCTGATGACAGATTTATCCTGGGCACAGTATAAAGAGGACTTGCAAATACTCATTCATACAGAGTTTAAGGATACAGAAAAAGGTTTACTTGTATTTCCCACTCTATCATTGCTTGTATTTGTGTTTAAAACAAAAACATAGTAAATGCAAAATATGAAAATAAACAGTGGACCTTGGATTAAGAGGATGTAGATGAGGTCAGTGTAAATACAAAACGAGAGAAAAGCAAACCTGAAGGGTTTCACAGACTCATCTGAACAAAATATAGGAAGTATTTAGGATTATCAGTGAAGCTTTTAAATATTCATTTTTTTTTTCAGCAAGAGAGTAAAGGTTGGACATACTCATGTTTGGAGGATAACCTCAACTCGTCTCTTTTACAAATTATGTGACTTCGAACCCGTCTCTTTTACAAATTATGTGACTTCGAACCCATCTGAAAACTGTCAATATTGATCATTACAGTTAATGAAAAAGAGCCCTGCTGCTGTGATTTCATAACTAAGAGGGTTGAGGTGATACAATCTCACTTAGGTTTGTTTCACTACCCAACACTGTTGTTGCTAGTCAAAGGATTTCACTACTTTCTGGATTTTAAAATGCTGCCATTCCAGATGCCTACTTTTCCTCCAGAAGATATGGTATAAAGCGAATCAAATGAAGTCCACCCATCCCCAGTCTCTTATGAAGAAGCCACCAGAGACCCCAGGAACGACATCTTCAAAAAGGATACCCTCAGGCTTGATTTCTGAGCCGAGGGCAGATACTCAACTTCAGGCTTTGAAACTGTTTCTACAACAGAATCCTGAGGACTGGAGAGGCAGCCTGCCAGGGTGTGCGGTGTGGAATGGGAATGGAGCAGGGTCGGCTGCAGGATGCTCCATTGACCCAACACTCTGGCCACGCATGGGTTTACATCTTCAGCTCGCCCCAAGGTCCCCGTTCTCCTGCAGAGGTCAAAGGCCTTCCTGAATCTTTCATGGACATGCTGGCCTGTCCACATCCAAGAGGCCAGGCCAGAGACAACACCAGAGTTCTCCCATCACCTTTTGCCTGTGCCCTTTTAACCTCTGCCTCCTCTGGTCTGGTGGAAAATCACCTAGGAAAAAACTGAAATAAAGCTGAAAGATGGTTATCTTCTACTTTATTTGGAATAGACAGGATCATTGGTGGTCTGCCCTGGGGGACTGATAGCACACAAAGGAAAGATCTGATAGGGTTAAGGCTGACTCTTCCTCACTCTCAATTTCAGGTCCACTGTCCATTAATCCCTGCCCAGAGGACAGCATAAAGAAAGCATTAGTGATGTAGGGCTTCTCATAGGGTTGTCATATTTTAAGAGTGCAGACAATTTCCTAAAAAAAAAAACACTTTGGGATCCTCAGTCAGCACATTTCTGTTTTCAAAGCCTCCCATCCTCACAAACGTGTGCCCCCCCCCGACACCTATCTGGAGAACTTTCTGGGGCACCTTATCCTGAGGATGGAAGGGAGGGTCCTTGCAGTACTGGAGCCACGGAGCAGCCACCAGGGCAAGCTTCAGACTGTCTCTGGCAGTTTCACACAACACGCCAGCCTCACCAGCCTCACCAACTGACAAATTGCCCGTCTCAAGTTCTAGAGATCACGGTCTTTCTATCAGACGTAGGCACATCTGATTCTTGGAACTCTCTGTAACTTTTCTTTACCCTATATGCTTTTTATGGCTTAGAGGAAAAAAAAAAGACACACAGAAAAGAAAAAGAAACCAGAGCTACTCATGACCACCGCTGCTTCCCACATGGATGTGTGGCTGGCGGAAAGTCCACATGTGCAGCCTTCTTTTCAATCAAATCATCATGAAGACAAGCCCATCCTTGGGCTGGTCCGGCTGATCTCATTTCTCTCTGGAAACTAGAAGCCACACTGATGGAGAACCTTCCCTGAGAGAGGGGACACTGGGTTTTGATTAAGGACACGTAGGAATTGTACCTCCTATGCATGCACCTCAATTTCTCTGTCCGTATGAGGTCTGGCAGCCTCCCTCACCTGCTGCCTCTGGCCTTACCTAGACATTGAGGTTTACCATTTGCTGTTCAAGGACTCTCTTTCCTGCACCACGAAGTGCCTTGCGTACATGCAAGTAACCTGTGCGCCAGTTATTTATAGGGGTGCCGACTGAAGAAAAAAAATGAGGAGCTTACATGCTGAGATTTTATCAGAGATTTTTATGGGGAAATTTTCCATCCTCAATTTTTAGGTAATGGAGATTTGTATATATCTAAAATGTGCTCAGTTTCATTTATATCGAACTAAACAGTATATAGTGATGGTACCAGAGCAATGGGTGAATTAAAGTTAGACCATGGACTAAGGTGATTCTGTATCAAGTTATTAACAGTAAAAGATCCCATACCCTCCCACACTAATAGATAATCAGTCAAGTCTCAATCTGCTATCAGGCTACCCTATGAGCAGACAATGTATCGGTTTATCAGTACAATAACAATTTATGAAATGCCTGGTGAAACAGGATTTTCTATCTCCATTGGAAATTTCAGTCATTTATTCCACAATTGTTGATTAAGCATTAACTATATAAATGCACTGTTTTAGTTACTGGGGATTCATCAATAAATAAAACACCACCAGACACCCTCCCCTGATAGACTTGCCATTGCACTTACTCTCTAGTGAGATTAGAGGACACAAGTTCCTAGAATTTTAGGAAGCATCTCTAATTTTCTACATGGAAGCTGATGGTAGTTATCAGCTGGGCCAGAGTGGGGAGCAAGCATCTATTGACATGCCCTTTATTTGTAAAGAGTAGAAAAAGCCAGGATGCTCATTTCTCCCAGCTGGGATAAAAGAAAAGAGGACTTGGTAGCAGCAAGCAGCTAGAGATTGAGTCATTCAATAAACATTTATGGAGCAGCAACTCTAAAATATGGTGATGTACTAGTTGAATAATTCCCTTCTAAGGCAACCCATTGTCCCACTTGACATTGTCCCTGGTTTATAAGAGCTACTCCATATCCGTATGTGGTCTTGGAGTGGTTGGGGAACTGTGCTGTACAAATACCTGCAACGGTTACTAGCAGCAGGAGGGGCAGCATTTCGCACAAATGGGGAGGGCACTTTTGCCATGATCAGTGATCATGACGGGGTGCGGTCTCACAGAGCTATGTCTATGACTGTGGTTTGGATCTTTTTATCGCTCAAAGATTCAGGTCTTGGAAGCTTGCTCCCGGAGCAGTGGTATAGGGAGGTGGTGGGGAGCCGTGAAGAGCTGGGGCCTAGTGGGAGCTGCTTGTCACATAGGGCCATCCCTTTGGAAGGGCTGCGGGACCCCAGCCTGTCTGGCTTCCTGTTTGGTGATGTTATTTCTGTTTCCCGCACGCGCTCCTGCTGTTGCCATCTGCTGTGGTGGACTGCGGCAGAGACGGCCCTCACCTGAGCTCAGGGGGTGCAGACGCCATGTCCTTGAACCCCAGAGCTGTAGGCTAAAACCTTTTCCTCCCATGCAGTCTTCTGAGACATTTGATTAGGACAATAAAAAGCCATCTCACATGTTTATGGCCGTCTTTCCTTACCATGACTGAGATGTGCAGGATCCTCAGCTCCTCTTCGGCTGATTCATGCTGGGGCTCTTCCGTTGGGTCCTGCCCAGGAAGACTCGGGGCACCATCTTGGTGATGGATGTGAAAGAGCAAAGTGCCATTCTCCAGCCACTGCTGCCTCCAGCGTACTAGGGGGATGTCCTCCGTGTTCCCTGAGATCTCTAGAGGAGGAACACCAAAGGCAGAAGTAAGAATCTGAGCAAGGTTTTCATCTTCCTCCTCCACACTGTACCAACCAGCCAGTTCTGTCCGAGGGCAACATAAGGCTCCGACTACGGTTAGGCTGGACTCGCTGCTGCTCGCAAAGCTCAAGGAAGGGAGGGATTCTCAGAAGAAAATTATCCACATCGGCCTTCCCACCATAAATCTAGTAAGCCAGGTTCTCACCCATTGAGAAAAATACTGAGGTGCAAATTCGAGTTCTTCCCCTAGTTCTATGATCAATAGCATCCTTTATGCAGCACAGTTTGAATACCTGATAACCCCCGAGGTAAATACAAGTTGTTTGCCTCTTGTAAATTTGAAAGTATGAGTTCCCCAGCAATTACTCCTAGACACACCAGTGAATCTACCATGGAGAGAGTTGGTAATTACTGTGCAGAGAACTGGCATTTATGGAAGAGTCCTGGGAGGTTACTGCAGAGCTGCTGGGGCTGACAGGCTATTTCCAAAACCACAATCATTTGCTGCATAGTCCACTGGAGATGTCGGATAACTGGCTATGACAGGTAAAGTAATGTTTTAATTCCCTTAATTTTTTTTTTTCTCTTCAGCCTTGAAAGCAGAGGTGGAATGCATGAAGAGGAGGAGGGAAATCAAGTCTTTTCCGTCCATGCAAACACTCACTTGCTTCTCAGGGGTCCAGATCAAAGCAGTGGACTACCATCAACAACAAAACCCCCAAATCTTGCTCTGCACTTTGCACTGTAGTAGATGTTAAGGTAGCGCTGCAAAAATACCCTGTTGTGTGCACATCCCTCTCGCTTATATTCCTAAGTAATATCATATGAGAGCTTTGAGACACCCCACGGTACAGAAACTGATTAACCCAGCCCTCCCTGAACCTCCTTCAGCGCTGAGACCATTTAATCTTTAACAACTATTACCACACTATGGGACCGGTATTCTTTTCTGAACACATTTTAACAAACCATTGCTTTATAAAATTTTATTTTTTTTAAAGACATGGCTTCTTCTCCAAAATGTATCACCTTTAACAACAACAATAAAAAAAGTATGTATATGTGTGTGTGTGTGTATATATATATATTATATATATATATAATTTATATATTCACACACACACACACACACATATATCCCAGAGACATAAAAAAGATTTAATAGATACATTTAGAATGCAGTCTCATCAAATATCATAACCATAAAGAAGAAAGCAATTTCAAATATTTATGGATTTTATAAACACCTTTCACTATATGTGGGAGGGCACAAATGGCATTATTTAATTATTTAGCCCTTCACCTGTTCAGCAGACACTGGGCAAGCATTACACACCAGGCACTGTGCTAGGCTCTTGGGTGCTAACTGGAACCAGGCCCTCCACAAGTTCCCCAGTGCCACCCAGAGTGAGCAATGGTGGAAAGTGTTGCCCTAGGCATGTGACTAGGTTTCCTGGGAGCAAAGGAGAAGGAAGCAGTGATCATTCCTGGGCAGGGGGAGGGAGAAGGAGGAAGGCAGTCTCCTGAGAGGCTGGTGACACTGGTGCTGGGCCTGGTGAATAGTACGTGGAGTTCCCCTCAACAGGTAAAGGAACACGTATGAAGACACGAATCATACAACCAGAGATGTGAAAAATTGTGCTGTATATGTGTAATAAGAATTGTAATGCATTCCACTGTCATTTTCTTTTAAATATAAAAAAATCATATTTTATCAGGTTTAAATTATGAATGTTATTAGTACACAACAGTGATCTTTCTAATGATTTCACTAAGTATGAATAAAAGTATTATGAATAAGAAATATAGGTAGGATGGCTTGTTTTTTCAATATGGCAATCATAAACAGCAAGATACTCTTATTTTGTTGAATATGAATATCAATTCTTCTGGATGAGAATCTTATAATAGTTTAACATTTGTGAAACCCAATAAATTTTACATATACCAAAAAAAAAACAAAAAAAAAACAAACCAGGTAACGGATGTTCAGGAGAAGTAGAAAGAGAAGGAGGGAGAACGTCAGTGGGCCCTTTCTGGTAGGCCACTGAGAAGGTTTCATGTGGGCCACAGGTCACTAGCCTGTTCCAGAGGATGCTGATAGGATTACCAATCTCGTCCTGCTGTCCCACACACCAAGGAGAAGAGCCAACTGGACAGTGTGAAAGAGGCTGAAAAATGGTGACCAGAGCCCCTTCATGCTCAGCCCCCTCCCCCGCCGCCCTGTTGGGTTGGTCCGTCCACAGTCTGGAGCATGACCGTGCAGCACAGGGAGTGAGGATAAGGTGCGGGGGTGCACCTTGGTCCTGCATGGCCCCCTCTGTTAGTGCAGTGGGACACAGGCTTCCGAGTCCACCTTTCCCCTGAGGAGGCTCTCCTGATTTCCAGGTGGGGAGAAACCCTCAGGAGTGTGGGTATTTGGAGCAGCAGCTACCGTGCAAATCCTCAGCACAGATGCCACCATCACTTGGACTCTGACCCTTCTAACCCGTCCTCGGGCCTTCACAAGCACCAGGAGAGAAATGCCCACCCCCAAAGGTCCTGCTCCGCAGTACAGTAGAAACCAAGCTGTCTCCTCTCATCACAGACAAAACAAAACAAAACATAAGCAGCCCAGCTCAGAAGAGAGCACCCAAGGCACGATTAAGTCACCCAGAGCAACACGCATCCAGCCTCCTGCCTGCACCGGCCCACACTGCCTGGGACACATCCCACACCTATCTGAGTGCCACTGAGTCCTTCCTGTGACCACTGAGGAGGATCTAGGGCCTCCTGCCTCCAAATCACTTAACAAACTGGATTTCTGTTTCCCAGGAGATCCTCATCAAGGAGGCCAGGCCCGTTACCTCTCTTATGACTAGGGAAGCAAAACCAAGGAAATACCTAGACTGTCACCCCAGTGTGACACAGAACAGGGACTGAGATGGTCCAGCTATTAGATCCCTTCCACCCCCAACACAACCAGCAGGCAGCACCATCTCAGAGTACACACAGAGGAAATGCCAGCAGAGGCCACGCGGTCTTTCGGGATCCTTTATGCTACACTATTTTGCGTGAGGTTTTAGTATGCCGTGACTTCTTTTAAAACTGAGATATAATTTGCGTGCCATAAATTCACCCTTTTAAGGTCTATCATTCACTACGTTGAGCAACCTTCACCATGGCCTAAGTCAGAACACCTTCATCGGCTCAAAAAGAAGGCCCATATCCATAAGCACCCAAGACCCCTTCAGAGGAGGAAGATGTTCTGCCACACCATCCTCAGAGTGGGGGCACCTCGGATATCACAGATGCAGTGGAGGATGACCAAGTGCACCCACCCGTGAGTCAGTGGGCTGCTAGCACAGAGGCCTTGCCTTGCAGGTCGCCCACCCAACCCCTTTGTGGGTTATTCCTGTCCATCCTTCCAATGGGGACATCATGATTTTGCCCACATAGACTCACCACGGAGGGGAGAGGGGAAGGAAAGAGGCCACCCTGCCTGCCAAGAGCATCATCATCCGTGTTTAGTTTCAAGATAATCAGACAATGATGGCTTCTTCTTGGATTTTTCCCCCTCTCTTGGCAGACCTGACATGGAAGAGCTCAAGTCTAAACAGGAACTTATTTACTTATGCTATGTCTGGCCCTGGTCAACTAATGAAAAACCACACAGGGCCCAGTAAACGTCAATTTCTTCCCCAACAGGACTGAGATCAGAACTTGGAAAATCTGCGGCGTCATCACTGTGGTCTGGGCTTTAGCAGAATATCTCAAGAAGAGGAAATGCAAGACAGCACAGTCCTGAAACCCCCGAAGGGTAAGTTATAGGAGGTGACAAAATAGTCTGGTCCGAAGCCACCCGAGGGTTGCCAAAGAGACTCCCAGGGAAACTTCTCCACAATGTACTAAATAAAAAAAGTGCCAGCAGGATGCTGCATGGGCATCTGAAGATGTCACAGGTGTCACACCGTGGAGCCAAGATACCTGGAAATGCAAGGCTGCCCTGACTTCACCACGTCCATTCTTCCTTTCCACAGACCTCTCATCCCTTGGCACCTCCCCAAATTCTACAACTGCCTGGAATGCATGGAGACCAGGGTGCCATTTATTCTCACGTACATCTTTTTGGAGCATGTTTGCCATTCAGAAAATTGGGCTACATGGCTCCTCCTCTCAAGGAGCTTTCCCTCTAGCAGGAAAGTTAAGCCATGGCCATGAATAAGCCCTCTGCGTAGTAATAGCAGGGCTGAGGTAGAGGCTGGAGCTTGGCTGGGTGCACATGGATGGCAAGAAGGAACATGGGTCAAAACACTGGGGAGGCAATTTCAGATGAAGAGTATATGCAAAGGAACAAAAGGATAATACAAGTGTGCAGAAACACAGGAGGCAAGGCTGCCGCAGGGAGGATGTAGAGAAGAATGGCAGCAGACCTAGGCGAAATTCAGATCGGTGCCAACTGCCAAGGTTGTGAATGCCAGTTTAAGGATTGCCAGCTAATGGCACGTCGTCCACGGTTTTGCTCAGCAGAAGTGTGCATTAAGTCACCATTTAGAATGATAAGAAGACCCAGAGAGATAAGGGAAGATAAACTCAACTCGAGTCTCATGGTGACTCTGAGTGCTGTATTCTGCAGGAACTAAAACTGTGAAGCAGAAAGCAGGCTGGGCACGGTCTGAGGAACTGTGGGTAAGTTGCTCAGCTTTGAGTTTTCTCGTCTGTTTAAGAGGATCTGGATAGATGAACTTCAAGATCCGTTTGTAACTTTGATATCCCACGATTCTAAGTCGGGAAGGGATATTAAGTTCAGTGTTCCAAACGATGTCACACATTCTCTCAAGTATAACCCCGGCTCCGTCCCTGCTGTCCCTGGGCACAAAGGCTGGACAGGTTTGAAAGGATTAGATCCGAGTATCCCAGACCCAGGCCCTCTTCACAATGGACCGCAGATGATAAGAAAGACTCTCATTCATGCTCCTACAGACATGTGTGTCTAAGAA